TCAACGCCGACAGCGTAAAAATGGTTAGCCCAGCAGCGGAGGCATCGCCGGGCGTATCTTAAATCCGATTTCAGACGTGGCCTAACGCTACACGCCGAGCGCCACCGCCACACAGGCGCATACCGGCGCACACGGGCGCACACCGGCGCACACGGACGTCGTGCACGCGCGTGCGCGCGCTCTCACCCATTGCCGTTCCCCCGCTGACGGGCTCCCGTTGGTCGACGGACCGTACGTCGGTGCTGTACGCGACTCGCCTTCGGCCGTTTGGGAACGTTGGGGTGGCGGCCTCTGGAGGCCGGGGGCCGGCACCTCCTCCCTGGCATTCGCCTGCCCGCGCGCGTATCCTTGTCGAGTCGTCCTGCGCTTGGGAGACCCGAGCCCCCGCCACCTTCGCCCCCCCCACCCACCCACCCTACCACCCGCCCCGCGCTCCCTTGCTACCCCCCTCCCCCCCGTCCCGCTTACCTCCTCTCTCACCCTGGCTATCACCGCGGTCCTACAACCCTCCCCACCCCCTATGAACAACGTCATCCTGTTCCGCGCGAGCGCTACCAATTTAGTTGACGTCGCGGCTCAGGCTCACGGCCCGTTCACGCGCTTTTCCGACATCCGTGGCGCTTATCCCCTCCGACCCCGCGGGTATCGCGTCACTGCCGCCGACGCTGCCGCCGCTGCCGCTGCCGCCGCCACCGCCGCCGCCGACTTACCTCAACCCGTTTCGGCGCGGTCCATCTGCCCCACCGAGGTGACGCTCGATCGTCGTGGCGAGAGGGAGAAGGCGCGAGAGGAGCCTAAGACAAGAACTACGACGCAGTAGCTCTCACGTACGCGGCCCGGCCCGACTCCTCGCCGACTATTCCCCATTCCCCACCTCCGAGCCTAAATAAATGCCAGTCGCCGACTATACCGACGGATTTATTGCTTCATTTCCTCGAATGCTGGATGCGACGCGCCTCGCGTCTTGGCCTCCCATTGTTTTACGAGGCGAGGCGGCGCGGTACCGATATCGGTGGGGGCGTTGCGCACAGTGAAGGCGCCGAGGAAGGCCTCCTCCTCCCTGTGGGATCTTCGATCGCGGCCGATTATATTGCGATTGGTGTGGGTGATGTCGGTGGGAACAGGGGGCGATATCGGCGTAGTAAAGGACGTGGGTGCTTAAGCGCCGAATTCGTAGCGAAAGCACAGGGATTAAGGAGCGGCGATGATAAAGCAGCTTTCGCTTGCTTGACGCTCGTCGTCGACTGGAGATTGAACGATTTTCGAGTTTACCAGGGCAGAGAAGCGATATCCAGACGCGTGACAAAGCTCCGTCCAGCTGATTTCATTGCCACGATGGAAATTTGTAAATATTTGAGATAGATTTCGTGATCCAATAAATGAGTGTCTGTTGAGCGAACGTCGCGGAGCCGCGGTGACGGCGGCGGCGGCGGTGGTGTTGGCGATGGCGGTGGAGGGGCAGAGGGAGGGGATGGAAGAATGGTTATCGGCGGGCTGCGTGATGTCTCTTTCGTTTCGGCGAAAATAGATTATTTGAGAGGAACTTTGGGCCTTTCATAATATTTCGATATTGTTAGCTAATGTCATAATATAATTAACCGTTATTTTGTATCAATCGAGATTGGCAATTATTGTAATTGCACGTGGCTGTTATTTATCAGCTCGTGCGAAAACGCCGCGGGTTTAATTGATGGTCGATAATACTAATGCGTGGACGATCATTTCAACGATCATTCTTTTACTATTTGTTGATTTTTAAATAATATTTTTAAAGTAATTTCACGATCGCTACTACGCTGCTAATAAATTTACTGGACTTCCGTTCATTATACAGCATTTTGATTAACAATGATCGATTCCGAGGTTCACGGATTACTTCGCATATCGAATGGTCATTAATTTTACCATCCCTTTAATATTTTAATAATAATGATTTAAACCAATTGTCATATCATTTATTCGAAATTTTACAGCCACGAATACGTTGAAATAGCGAATACTTCCATTACATTGCAATACTCCAATATTTAATCTTGATTTATGACTTGTATCACCGAAAAATCGATAAAAATCTATAATACACTATACGTAGAGCGTACGTTTTTAATAATTTGAGCTTAACTATTTTTTACAAATAGCGAATGAGAATAAAAATTTACAAAACCATACATTTTCCAACGTATATAAGATATAATGAACAAAAAAAAAAAAAAAAAAAAAAAAAAAAAAAAAAAAAAAAAAAAAAAAAAAAAATAAAATAAAATAAATATGATATAATGGAGTGGTCGGTAAACATGATTATCAGATGTATTTATGTAGCTTTAGTTTAAGTTGTAGTAAACAAAATCTGTCATTTAACTCACGATCGAACTTATTGATGATATACGAGTTAAGGACAAAAAATAACTTATGCAATTTACCATTTTATGGCGATAGAGCGAAATTCCAAATTGTAGTATATTTGAAATAATTAGGGAAACAACGTAACGAGAAAGCTTAAGATTTGTAAAATATTAATATTTAACAGGCAATTATTCTCTATTATGCTAAACTATCGACTACATTGTTGCGTAAAACCTTACAAATGTCAATAAAATAAAATGCATTATTCAGCGTGTAGAGCGGCAATTTTAATTTTCGTGTAAATGTACTTTTGAAATTAGATTAATTTATTTATGTACGCCGAGTTTACTATAAATTTACATAAATCAAAATATTATTCATGGTTATGCAATGATGATAAATCATATTTAAATATAAATCTAGACTCCTATCCACACTGCTTAACCGTAAGTTACATAAATTATGCGACATATCAGTATATTCATATGCTCAACTATGAAAAAATTGAGAATTTAATATTAAACGAATGTTATATAAATTTACGTTCAATCGATATTTGTAGTTGAAAGTAGTTTATACGAAACAAATTTTCAAGATTTTAAAGATCATTTATTCTACATGGAGGAACGATGGGTAATGGGTAGAAAACACCCTCGTGTAAAATTATTAGAATTAGTGGAAGCAAACGCTGTATTATAAACAAAACAAGGAATAAAAGAATTGTAATTTAGGAGCGTATAGTAAGAACAATATCACCAATATTATAGGTATGACGTAGGTATAATAAATTTTCCAATTATTATTTGAATTTAGCATAAGCTATATGTTAAGCGCTAATATCTGAATATTTTAAATTTTTTAATGAAAACTTTTTTCCAAATGTATGACATTAATATAAAAATTACATTAGTCTCACAAGAAATGTTGATATAACGCAACATTAAAATATTTCAAAATACTATTAAATACAAACACCTTTAAAAAGGCATTGTTATGCAAATTATTCTTCTTAATAATTTGTATATTGATTTGTAATTATATTGAATTACAACACAATTATATCAATGCGAAAGCTATAAAAGTATTTATATTTATTTTATTTTCATTATATTTAATTAGAGCTTTGATGTTATTAGTAAACCATCAAAATCACAATTCAGTCTGATACATACAAGCGGTCTATTTACATATTTTACATGTAAAGTTCTACTTAAGATGCCTAAAAAATAAAAGAAAAAGTTCGTTACACGTCAGAACTGTAAAATCATATTTTTCAAAATTCTTAATCAACATTCGATTTTAGTAACATTTTTGTTGATCATTCAACTAATACTCGCATTAAGCGATTTATATACCATATTTATATATTATTTCTCTAATATAAATATTTTCTTACCGTGCAATTAAAAATTCATAAAATTTGGTGGGAAATTGATGTGGTACAAGGTTGCCTGTATGAATTATAATTTATAACATTTTAACATGATTGAAAAATAAATAGTTATATGTCAATAATTGTACATTACAAAATACATATATAATAACATTGCTCTTGTCGATGTTGATACACAGTTTTGAAATTAGTGTACTTCATATATTTACAGTTTATGCTTGAAGCAATTTACAGAATATTAATATATACATTGATTATTTAAAGGTAATAAACTAGCTGGACATCTAGAGCTCTTAGAAATGTAACAGAATTTTTGTTGAACAACTCGAAGTTTGGCCAAACTTCAAAATAATGATGAATGAATTTAATTTAGTTGTTCATCGAGCGTTTTGGTTTAGAATAAAAATTTGTGTTCAATACTGTAGTATGTATTTATGGTTCATAATTTTGATAAAATTCGACTTGCTTAAATTAATTAAACAGTTTTTCCATTCCTAGGGACGATCTAATGGAACATGGATTATCTGTATTAAATAAAGCTTTGATTATAATATTATATTTTAACATTCTTTGTTAAAGCTATCAACAACCGTAGCATAATTAAGCATCATATTATTTCGTTTTTTGGTCTCGTTTTTTATTTTGAACAAAATCTCTATATTATCAGTCTACCAGAGATTCTAAAAATATAGATTCGTTATTGTTACAAAATGCGTATTATATATAAGGTTTGTGTAGTTCATGATAAAATATTTATTGTCCTGATGATATTAGCATTTTACATCAAAACTATATAACAAAATAATGATAATTAAAATATCACGGAATAAATTGAATAAATGTATAAGCGTAGTATATAAATGTATATTGTAATAAAGTATTATACGTAGTAAAGTATTTATTGAAATAAAAATAAATCGAATAATGAAGTAGTACACGTAGTGCATTTGCTTAAATTTTGTTGAGAAAATGACTATCAATAGAAATAATTGTAAGTTACGATTGCAGATTTCTACCTTACCGGCAATTATGTATAATACGTAAAACCTCTCCACTTTTCATTTTGTACACTATGTAATATGATATATATACATACATACATATATATATATATGTGCACTCTACATTTTATTAAAGTGTCTTATCCATGAAAATTCTTATTCGACGTTTTACAACTGCGTATACGTATATAGCATAATGGTATTTGAATATTTAAACAATGAGATGCAAAATTTTACCCACATCTCATTACATAATGCTTGCATTTTTGTATAGTAGCATCGTAAGAGCTTGGAGGACAAAATTTCAAATTTTAAGAATAATATCAAGAAGATTATACAAAATGAAATTTAGGCTATAATTGCGGAGTTGCAATGCTTTGTTGTTGTATGAAAACGACAAAGCAAGTAGTTGGAACGGTAAATGGTCCGTTAACATAAGGCCGCGCGAGCTCTGATTTAAAACATCTTTTTCCTCACGGCCGTGTATCGTTCCATGTATTTGTCGTAGCCGTCAAGATCGCAAAGTTGCTTCATCTCGAATAGATTGCCCTCGAGCTCGAACAACGATATGCTGGAGTTCTCGAAGATGTGCCGGTGTATCGCCCCGAGCTGCAGGCAGTTCTCGTTGAGGCGGAGCGTCTTGAGTCTCGGGCAGTCGGCCAGTTTCTCCGATATCAAGGCTATCTGATTTTGATTGAGATTCAATTCGATGACGTGTAGGCCCGCGACATCGCTGGGGACTGATGTCAAACGGTTACGCGACAGCTCGAGCACGTCCAGGTGCTTGAGGCCGCAGAACATAAGGGGGAACTCGGTCAGGCGATTGTCCGACAGGTTGGCCTGCAAATTTTATAATTCTCAACATGATGTTCGACTACGACTTGTTATCATTCATTCTCTTTATCTGGCTGGTTACATCAGATCGTCAACCACATCGTATTACTATTCATTTTGGCGTTAATATCAAATTGCCTACATTCATTAATCCAGCCATTCGATTAATTTTATTATCAAGTCAATTTTAATGTTTCTTATTTGTTATTCATTCCATATTAAATTGCATTGGCCATATTATATTAATCGGCTATTGTAGTTGGAATGACGGAATAATAAATTACCACTAATTGTATTAAATAATCCATCGTTTCTTGCATAATGGCAAGGTATATGCTGAAATTGACGACAATGATGGCAAATTTATGTCCTTCAAAATTTTTATCTCCCAACGCGCTGTAAAATCTTATAAGTAACAGTGCCCGTTAAAATTAGGTACAGCAAACAATTGTTTGTTATTAATTCCAATAAATATTAATTACAATTGTCTTGTCAATTTCAATTCAAAATATTGTTTTCATCAATACTTGTGGCGCGTAATTACAAATGTGGATGTTGTTTTTTTTTTTTTTTTTTTTTTTTTTTT